TTGCATGGGATAGAGAGCAACAAGACTTTTAGGCTCTTCTGGTGAGGTATTTATGGGTGATCACTTTGGAAACAGCTTGGCTTTTTTAGTAAGCTCCGACATGAACATTCTACTAACCAGTGTTTCCACTTTAGAGGTTATTAAGTAGAAAAGTGGCCATGTTTCTGAACCTCTGGATCTTTTAGGATTGCTTGGTAGCAGTGGGTCTACCTAAGTATGATGACTTCCTGCCTCAACCTGCCCCCGGGTTTGTGCTCCTTTGGGTCAAATTTCTACAGCCTAGATTTTTGTACTTCTTTCTTCCTCTTATTAAAAGATAATTTCCAGAAGGGTAGCATCATGAGTCACATATGGACATAAAGATGGATGTGTTTAGGGCGCCTGGGTGGCTCAGTGGGTTAAAGCCTCTGCCTTCGGCTCAGGTCATGATCCCAGGGTCCTGGGATCGAGCCCCACATCGGGCTCTCTGCTCTACGGGGAGCCTGCTTCCTCCTCTCTCTCTCTCTGCCTGCCTCTCTGCCTACTTGTGATCTCTGTCTGTCAAATAAATAAATAAAATCTTTAAAAAAAAAAAAAGATGTATGTGTTTAAAGAAATTTATTTATATGATATGAGGGAATCAAGCAGATATTATCATTGGTTCAAGGAAAATTTAAAACTGCATAAGCTTAAATGAATTTAAGAGAATGTTGAGGTGAATTGGAAATGGAGATGAAACTGGATTTTCCACAGAGGGAAGTCAAAATCATCACGGGACTAGATAGAGTGTACATAGCTATCAATTACCTACAATTTACAGAGTTGCAAATTAGCTCAAAGAAGATGAACAGGGTTAGAATCTGATGACCCAGAAGGGTGTGCTAAAGATGGTGTATGCAGTTTTCCACCTAAGTACCAATGCCTTACTGACACACTAGTTCAAATAGAATATTGTTTGGATGCCGACACGTGTCAAGGAGCACTTGACAGCTGGTGTTCAGATGTAGGAAATCAACACTTCACCAAAGTCAGAAGCCCAATATTCCAGATTGCTATAGACACAAGTTCTAATGAGCTGAAAAGTACAGGAGTATCAAAGGTCCTTGTTAGAAAGTCAAAGACACGACCAGGTATATAGTAAGAGCTAAGAGTGGACGCAGGTTAGATGAACATAAAGAAGCCTGAACGTGGAGTTAAAAGACATGGGCAAGCCTCAGGCCTCCGCTTACTAATTTGTGACCTTGAGCCAATTCCTTCTCTCTGGCTTTCTCTTTTCTACAAAACAAGAATTTTTGTTGGTGACTCTTTAAGTTCCCTTCAGGATCTAAATGTTTTTTTGAGGAGCAAGCCAGTCCCTTCCACAGATGGCCCTGTGGGAATGCCTAGGCATGAGGAGTTTTGACAGAGGGCAGGGCACATCTGTCTGTGAACATGAGGAAGAACAGCTAGATGGGGCAGGGGTGTCCTAGATTCCCAGTGTACAGGGAAGAAACCCCAGCATCTATGGGAAACTTGGAAAGTGCAGTGACAAAGCGAGAAGAAATGTTAGAGAGGAAGGAAGTTACTAAAGAACAGCCTGTACCATTATAGGAAATGTATTACCAAGGTTGGCTCTCTCTCTACTCAGTGGGGGAACCAGTACTGTATTAGTCAGGGTTCTCCAGAGAAATAGAATCAATAGGGGGTGTGTGTGTGTGTGTGTGTGTGTGTGTGTGTGTGTGTGTGTGTGTGTGTGTGTGTGTGTATGTGTATACACTGAGAGAAAGGGACTTATAAATGATAATTATTTTTTAAATTTAAATTTCCAATTTGTTGTTTGTATATATAGAAGTACAATAATTTCTGTATATTGATTTTTATCTTACAACTTTGCTAAACTCACTTACTAGAACTTATTAGTTCTCATACGGGGTTGGTTTTTTTTTTTTTTTTTTTTTGTAGATACCATTGGATTTTCTACATAGACAATTGTGTCATCTTCGAATTAAGACAGTTCTATTCATTTTTAATACAGACACCTTTTCTTTCTTTCTCTGGTCCCCTTGCAGTGCTAGCACAATGTGGTACAATGCAGAAGTTGCAAGTGTGGACATCTTTGCTTTTTTTCCTAATCATTGGGGAATAAGTGTTCAGTCATTCACCATTAACTCTTAGTTTTTCATAGATTTGTTGATATCAGGTTGAGGAGGTTCTCTTGTATCAATCTGGTTTTGTTTTGTTTTTTAAAGATTTTATTTATTATCTGACAGAGACACAGAGAGAGGGAACACAAGCAGGAAGAGTGGGAGAGGGAGAAGTAGGCTTCCTGCTGAGCAGAGAGCCCGATGCTGGGCTCGATCCCAGGACCCTGGGATCATGACCTGAGCTGAAGGCAGATGCTTAATGACTGAGCTGCCCAGACCTCCTCAAAGAACTGCTTTTAGTTTAATTCATCAAACTGCTTCAGGAAATAGATGTGGAATAGATCTTACCAAAAAGAGCCCTCTTGCTGAGAGATCTTTTTTCTTGGTTCCTGTCAGTTTTGCCCTTATATTGATACACATAGGAGTTCAACCAAAGTGCTTTTTTAACCATGGTACCTGCCAGAATTCAGAACTACTCCATGGAGGGAATCCATTAGACTTATCCGACATGATTACTACAGACATTTCACTTACCTGTTTCTTCAGTACTTTTTGAAACCTTCATTTCTTTGCAGTATTGTTACCCATCTCTTTCTGAACTAAGCCAAATGTGAATATTATCATCATAATAAATTAAGAGATTTGGGTTGAGGGATCAGAAATCAAAGTTAAGCTCTAATATTTATGTTAGTTCAGAATTCATTCTTGCCTATTTAGAAATTAAAAATTGCTGGGAACCATCTAGAGATGCCTGAAAAACAAGTAGAAATCCGTGATTGGAGAGCTGGAACATATCTTGCATTCCTCTTGTATCTTGCACAGGACGGGTCATTCATTAGATTCTCTTTAAATACTTCATCATCAATAGTATCGAGCCTGGGCTAATTAAAGCTAGGGGAACTCATGTTATAAATGACCAGGCCTAACAGAAAGAACGTAGGAATTCCTGGTTTTACCTCTGAATTTTATACCTTAAGCTATCTGTACTTCAGCTTTCCCAAAACATTCACACATAGAGATTTGCCATCCATTCCCACCATCCCGGTGTACTCCAGAACACAGTCTTTTTACTTCAGCGAGAGTCAGGTCAGAGAAGCCCTGACTGAAACAACAGTCCTGGAGAAACTGAGGCTGAAGAATCTGTGCCAATGCCACGAACAGCCCAGATAGGCCTAAGCCGGACTCCCAGTTGTCCCCCCACCCCCTACCTCCAGTAGGCATCTTCTGTGAACAGGTTCCTGGGCTTTGCCAAATGACCTAGCACAGTCCTGGCCACCATTCAGAGGATCTGTGAGAGCACTATCCCTTCTCCCTGATGATGGAAACAGACTCCAAGCCTTGAAAACATTCCCAGGATCTCCGAATGCAAACATTTCTGGCAAATTCAGCATTATATCCTAACCTATAAAACAGTCTTACGGCACAAAGATAAAGTGAAATGACTGAAGTGCTAATCAAGTATGTTTAGTTTTCCAGAAAGTGAAAGATAGGGAATATTTGGCAAGAAAAAGGGTCATATTTTGTATTTAGGTGGTTTTTTTGAAAAGTAAAAGCAGCTCTACATTTAAAGGTACAATAATTCTAAAATAACAGATCAGCCTTGTCTGAGGAATGGCAGGAAAAGCCTTTGACACGGAAATTAGGTTTATTTTTAAACTTCCAAGGGGTTGAAATTAATTATAGATGGCAGCAAAGAGCAGAGAATAGATCCTTGAAAGTTTTTTAAAGAATAACTAAGGTAAGGTGTTTGTTCTATAAGGGTAATCTACTCCACTGTGTGTGTGTGTGTGTGTGTGTGTGTGTGTGTGTGTGTTTTAACAGGGAGAACAAAGAATTAAAAAAAAGGGGAGGGGGAAAAACCCTTTTTGTGGTGGTCTTTCAATCTATACAGAAAGTATGGAAATTCATTAAAATGAGTAATTTAGGAAAACAAATGTGGTTTTGGTGATTATATCAAAAAACATACCTACATACCTACTCCAGGGGTGCGTGGGTGGCTCAGTTGGTTAAGTATCTGACTCTTGGTTTCAGCTCTGGTCAGGATCTCAGGGTCCTGAGATTGAGCTCCACATTGGGCTCCATGCTCAGTGTGGAGTCTGCTTGTCTCTCTCCCTCTGCTCCCCATCCCCTATCCCCCACTCTCCTCCCACCTCTGGAATAAATAAAATCTTTATGAAAAAAACATACCAGGCACCTGGGTGGCTCAGTCAGTTAAGCATCTGCCTTCAGCTTGGGTCTTGATCCCAGGGTTTTGGGATGGAGTCCCCCATTGGGCTCCCTGCTCACAGTGGGGTGGAGGGGGGATCTGCTGCCTCCTCCCTACTTGTGTTCTCTTTCTCTCTCAAATAAATAAATAAAATCTTCAAAAAAAAAAAAAAAAACAAGACAAAAAACCCATACGTACTCTGTACCTTGAAATCGACATGTAGCTCAGCAGACTGATTCAGTGGTATTAGACTATGATCACTTTTGCTATCTACAGATTCCTCTAGAGGAGACTTTTCAGAGCAGAGCCAAAATTTATACAATGGGATTACAAATTATTTTATAACAATGCTAACACATAAAATGATAACTTTCACTAGAAGGGCTGTCTAAATTTCAGTTTTCTTAAAGGATTTTGATATTTTGATTTTGCATGAGATGCCAAATATTCATTGAACATGAATTATAAAGCGGTATTAAAAGGGAAATACCCATAACAGAAAATATAAAAGTAAGTAAGATCCAAGTTAATAAGCATAAATTGTATACCTTTCACTACCTAGTATGCTAATATTGGTGCTCAAGAAATATTTGCTATTAAAAAACAAGGCATGGCAGTGGGTCCAGAGAATATCTACTATACAGAATCAAATGATAACTAAAAATGTTTTATTTTACTCTTTTATTTCTTAGGTATTATTACTTGGCATTCAAAGCACATGAAATGCCTCTTGCTAGCAAAGAGAGCTGTGTTGCTATCTTGGAAAAATCCAGATTAGATCACTGGGTGCTGGGAAAAACAAAGGTAGTTCTTTCTTTTTTGTTCAGATTACCACCTGTGATGCTCTACGGTGTATCTTTGTCTCTTGTCAGTGATATGAATGGCTTTGTAAGTTGTGTCGCTTAGCAGACAACACCCCAACCTGACACTGATCTTTGCTGGTCTTGGGTCAGGAGTCCTCGGACCTCTGGACAAGAGGAGGAGGGTTTGTTTCCTGTTCAGCATGTAGTTTGAGAGAACCACTTAGCATTTCTAGAATGAGAACTTTGATTCTTTTAAAAATGTCCTTTTTAAATGTTGCTTATTCCAGCACCTCATGGAAATACACAAACCTTACTAATGACAGTAATGAGTATCTTTTACAGTTTTGTCCATTTTTCATTAGACTCATGTTGTGTTTTTTACTGTGCACCCTGGTTAGTTGTCTCGTTGTGTGTAGCTTTTCATTTGGGGAACATCCCATCCGTGTCCCAGATTTTTACGATCTGCTCTGAATTGCCGTACAAAGCCAATCTTAGCCTGTGTGTGGATAGCAACACGGTTGTTCCTCAGCAGGAATTACATCACTGTGGGTCATTTAGGTCATTCTCCTTCTGAACGTCCATTGCTGGCCACGGATCAGTTCTGTTGGTTAGTGCCTCCATCAAAGGCTGTGGAGATAATAGAAATCAAACTGAGAAAACAGAACTCCTGGCAGATATAAGCAGACTTGGAGAGCATTTGGGATCTCCTCAATCCCATTAACCTCATCATCTATTTATATCAATAATCAAGGATTGGCTCAACCTTAGAAGGGGTATTGTGTTTGCTCCCAAGAAGTCAGTAATGTTAGCATAAAAGAAATCGCTGTAAACTTTGTGTAGATAATGGTTTTAATATTTTTACTAAGAATACTCTGCAGTAGACTAAATTTGAATAAGAATACTATGCAGTAGACCCATATATAATGCTGAAACTAATATCTCATTTCAGGTTTTTCTCAAATACTATCATGTTGAGCAGTTAAATTTGCTGCTGCGAGAAGTCATAGGCAGAGTGGTTGTGCTGCAGGCGTATGCCAAGGGGTGGCTTGGAGCCAGGAGATACAAAAGAATCAGAGAGAAGAGAAAGAAGGGGGCCATTGCCATCCAGTCAGGTAAATAGTCCTGAATCTTGGCATTTCATCAAGTGCTAGGGCCACTCACCTGTTGCTTTTCTCAGTGGCTTCTTCTCTTTTTCCTCCCCTTCCTTTCCTTCTTCCTTCCTTTCTTCCTTGCTCTAGCAAATATTTATCGAGTGCCTATCACAGGCCCTATGGTAGATGCTGGGAATATAGCCATGAGCAAGACGACCTCAGTCCCTCTGACCTCCACATGAGCAAACAAGCCATCATAACACACTGTGGTCAGTGGCTCGGTAGAAGTAGTGTGAAGTGGGCAGAGGGAAAACCCAAAGCACACAGACCTGTGCCCCTTCTTCCAGATGACTGATGTAATATACATTTCAGGCCCATCACCAAGTTCTCAGCATCAGATTATAATGCCCTTTCCCAATGGCTTTCTAGCACAGACAGAGCTTATAAACCAAGGGAACAAATTACCAGGCTCTCTCATATGCCCAGCCCATTCAGTGTCTCTTTGCTCATGTGGGCGTCATTTGTGTTACAAACAGCATCTGAGCTTCTGTGCTGTTGATGAATGGTTAGGAAAGCGTCAGATTTTGAACATAGTGGACAATTTCCTTCATACTCTCATAACCCAGACTCCCATTGTCCACTCTGGACTTCATGACCGCACTCAGCAATTGGAAAGCTGTGATGCTAATGGGAGGGACAGAAAGATAAGGTGGTCATGCTCCTGGTGGGCAGCTTAAGGCCCCAGTCCTCTGTCTATAGGACTCAGAACACACCCAGAGATTTCTTCTCTCCTCCTTATCCATTTTCCTTGCCTTATGCCTTACTGTTGCATAGTTTCTTCTCCCGAAGCACAGTTCTTGGGACATGGTTCACCTTCCCAAATGCAGGTGTTGTGCTACTAATTATTCCCTTTGACCCCCTTCTTATTTATTTGTTTATTTATTTATTTATCTAACAGCACAAGCAGGAGGAGTGTGAGGGAGAGGGAGAAGCAGACTGTCTGCTAAGCAGGGAGTCCGATGCGGGGCTTGATTCCAGGATACTGGGATCAAGCCAAAGGCACACGGTTTACCTACTGAGCCACCCCAGGCTCTGACTCCGTTCTTCATTTTTCACTCCTTCAAATTTCATGTTCATACCTTCCTCCCAAACAAGAACAATCAAACTGGTCAGGCTATTCCATTCTTTCCTACCATCCCGACAAACCACCCTTCTCCCAAGTCCTGAACACAGAGCTTCCTCCAGGGATTAGAATGACAGGGAACTGCCTCACCTGGGATAGAGGTCCCTAGTGATTCATAAGTTGCATCCAGAGTGTTCTGGAAACTCACTGCCAGAACAAAAATAACTCCTTCTCAGAAGCATCTTGGAGACCCAGCCAAGAGTACAGAGAGGCCCCTTTTCCCCATCATTGCTCACGTTTCGCTGCTTATTTTGTTCAGTGAGAAAGCAAGAGGGAGGACAAGAAGGGTAATAGATTGGAGGGAAAACAGCTTATATCAATTCACTGGCACATTCTTAAATTAATGTCATTCCTAGCACATGGTTTTATATTTTTAGCCTGGAGAGGATATGATGCTCGGAAGAAATTTAAGAAAATAAGCAACAGAAGGAGTGAGTCTGTGGTTCCTATTCAAGCAGGTAATTAAAACATCATTTTCATAGCATCCACTTGAAAATATTCTGTGATTGAGTTTATACAATTTTAGAAAGCTGAGAGGTGAATAATTCAGGAGCCCTGGAATTGGAGTTGTGAGTTCTAGTGGGGGTTCTTGGGCTTGTTCTAATACACCCTGGGTGTGATGATGATAAGGCTGACAGTGTGCATTTGCTGCTTGCCATCCTTGTGTAAGGAGCCTCTCAGTAAGTGCTCTAATATCCCTGAGTTTATAGAGAGGGCAACTGCGGCACAGAGAAGCACAGTAACTTGTCCACAGTCACACAGCTGGTCAGTAGCAGACTCAGCATCTGAACACAGGCAAGTCAGATAAAGTCAACTTCGTATCCTGCCAATGGAACAAATCCCTTTCCTTTTTGTCACATATCCGTTATCTGTGAAATGGAGAGTGCAGGCCCAAGTCTGGTTAAGTCTGGAAGGTTGGAATTCTCCGATTATGCGCAGCACTCATCGTTCAGCATCAGAGAGATAAGAATAGCTCCGGAACTTTCCAGGCAAATGGGATTCCCCACACACCGACCTGTATGTGGCTAAGGTGGTCCTCTGGGCCCCATGGAGTTGAGCTGGGCTCAGCTTGGGCCTGGCTGCCTGAGTGCTTCAAGGTCTGGTCCTGCCTCACCCGACCTGTTCCTGGTTCCTCGTGGCTCTGCTCTTCTGCAAATGGCAGTATCTGTGGTGCCTGCCAGCCTGGGTTCCCATCATCATTGGAAGCTAGATATGCCTAGTGAGGCCCTGGGAAGAAGTAGTCCCCAGAGCGTGCCTGGAGCTCAGAGAGTCCAGAATGTAGAGACGGAGCGAGAGAGCATTTGCCAGTCCAGTGACTCTGCAAGCCTGAAGAGGGGTAGGGTTCCAGAAACTGCTGCTTTGAAGCAAACTCTCAAATAAAACAGCTGCAACCTTTTTGAGGCAGTCCCTGTCCAGAACTTGGCTCCAGAAACACTTCTCAAAACTCTCTTCTGGCCACTGTAGAGACCTGACATCTTCATTCAGGACCAAAATATTTGGAAGGAAGGGATGTCATTTAGATGCAAATGTGTAAGTTTTAACACCATCCCCTAGGAATTCTAAGCTCTACAACTTCAAAGAGTTCAATGGAAGAAGGATCTACTTCTGGTTGCAGCTTAAGAAAGAGTACTCAAAGTGCATTTGATCCTTCCTTGCCCACCTCCACACATCACACCACACGGCGCACGCACACGCACGCACACACCCCTCTCCCCACAGTCTCCTGGACTGATTTCTGATCTTGCAGTTTGGCCCAAAGCCCAACATATGTTTTAAAATATAAACTTTGGGTTATATATTGTTGATCCACTGAGTCCAGTATATAGGATTATAAATCTCCTTTTCCCTCTCTGAAAATGATCTTTAAAGGGTTCCCTGTTTGCACTCTGTTGTTGCCAAGTGAGAGCTGCATGAAAACAGAGACAGGTTTCCTTCGCCATCATATCAGGCCAGCCGTGATGGCATCTTTTCAGTAGAGCACCTTTGCGGTAGGTACCATGGAAAGATAATCTTGCTTTGTGAAACTGGAGAGAACACATGTCTTCAAGGTGCTTCTTTTTTTTTTTTAAGCTTTGCAAGCACCTCCTCCCTCCCTTTTCTTTTTACTCCAGCAGCTTGTGTTCCCACTTATCAAGTGGCATAGGGAACTTCCATTAACCGAGTCCATAGGGGCTTGGGCGGAGAGGAGGACATTGAGGGTGGGACTAATGCCACCCCTCCCTCTTGGAAGTAGTGTGGCAGCCAGAGCGACAGCAGACAGTCTCTTTGCTCTTCAGCCCAACACCACAGATGTGAGTTGAGGTGCTGGGTATCGGGCTAGCAGAAAAGATGCCTGGATAGGGTAACAGCATTTGCAATTTTATGGGCCGTTTACTTTTGCGTGGGAATGTTCTCCTTATCTTTATATTGGAAAGCATGGTTCTGTTGATCTAAAAAGCAAAGCAGTTCATTCCAACTTCTCTGTTTGGGCAGGGGTGTGGGGGGTGTTCTTCCCAGAGCATAATCCTCTCATTACAAGCTCTTCTTACCACCACTAGGATGTTTCTGAGTAGAACAAGCCCCAGACCTAGCAGTTCCCTTACTTGGGAACCCTACAGGAAGTGGCTTAAGGAGGTTATCCGAGTAGGACTGTTTCTGATTGTTTTCAAAACTTACTCTTTCATTTATGTTTTTTTTTTTCAACAAATCATTTCACTTGAAATTTAGATTCTATGGAATGCATTTCTTTGTATTTCAAGTTCTGGCCCATTGCCTTTCTTTTTCTTTAGTGGTGTTGCTAAGATATGTTATATATTTTTAAAAGAGCGGCCCTTGAAATTTAGGAAGCATTTGGCCTACATGTTGCTACAGAGCAGTGCATATGGAAATTTGTTTTCCTTTCATCTCCTTCCCAATAAAAGCAGCCGCACAGCTTATCCCTTTAGCTTCCTCAGAACTTCCTTTCAGAATTCCCGATCTATTACAGCACGTTCACATACCAGAAACAAGATGCCTTTTCATGCTGTCAACCTTTTTCATCTGAAATGTAAATTAATTCTTGCTGGTATGCCTTGACAGAGATCAAAGTCAGGGTATTAACCTTCCTGGGCTTTCTCCGGGAATCTGTCCCCAGGACTGGGCTGCGGCTGGTAAGAGGCCAGTGTCCCTGTTATAGGGCCCTCCTCCAGGCAGCCCTCCATGGAGATCCACCATTTCAAAGGTGCAGAGTCCTTTGGTAACTGATCTCATCATTACTTTAAACTAGGTGAGAAATGATCTGCCTGGTTAATTCCTGAAATAGAGAGGGAAGGAGTTACACACACACACACACACACACACACACACACACACATACACAGGTGTGCGCACGAGCACACACACAGGCCTGTTCATTTTAATTGTGGGCCCTTCACTCAGATTCCTGGAGCTTGTTTAAGTTGTTTTGACAGCGAGTGATCTCGGTTTGATAGAGGGAGGGACAGGGCTCCAGATTGGAAACCTCTCCCCTTGCTCAGTGGGTCATTTCTTGCCTGTCAGTCTTTGAGGTAGGCCACATTTGCATTTTCAAAATAAACAGATGCCTTTCAAATACATGAGCTGGTGGTCTAGAGATCTCTGTGGGCCCAAACAGTTCACCAGCCAGTGATCAAATGCTGGAAGAGAAAACAAACGGAAAAAAAATACCCTAGGTAACTATGCATCCATTTCCTACGTGTATAACATTGTACCGGCAATGAAGGGCCTCTGAGATGTGAGGAATCTCCGGGAGAGAGAGCTAGGGATCCCAAGCAAAAGCCTAGTTTATCGGCAAAAAACTTTTTTTTTTTTCTTTGCCAGGGGAACAGCTTTGAATGTCATCTTGGTGAGAAGTGACATGTTTTGTATGTTTTTATTATTTGTTAATGCTAAAAATAGGCTCTTGCCAAAGGAAAACATACTCTTTTAAACACCAAAGAATTTAAAATTGCATACTTTTTTAATTAGAAAGATAAGATGACACATACTAGTTTTCAGATAGATGGGGTATTCTAAGTAAAAAGTAACAGTTATATGTCATTCCCTTTTAATGAACTCTTTACTATCACAAACTGGATATAACTAGATTTATTCAAATAAAAGTACATCTATTCCTTAGTAAATACTATCAAAACACATAACCTGCAGGGAATTTTTAAAAGGTCTACAATATCTCATTCTTTAAGTTTTTGAAAGCACTGTCTTGAAAACTGCCCCCCTAATTCAAGATCTGTTCTTTCAATGAGAGCAAAGTGGTGGGCTTCCCCATCTCAGAGGGAAAATGCCTCAAGTAGGTGACAGTGGAGCCTTAGGGGCTGGGACCAGAATTTCAGAGTGTCTACAGGAAGGAGTAGGCTCTTCCAGTCCCCCTTTCCCATTCTCTCCAGACGCCTGGGTGCAGGAAGAGCCCATTGGTTTACAGCACATTGTCATCTAATTGCTTCAGTGCAGTGGAAAATGTTTTCCCTCTCTGTCCTCCATCAACGTCCCACTTACGTCCCCTCCTTGGCCTTTCCAACAACCCAGATAAACGATGGCCATTTCTCCTTCCAATGCCTTTTGGGGAGAGTGCTTTCTGGAGCCTCAGCCATGACTGTGCTAAGACTTAGGCTTCCTTGAGCCTGTGAACAGGCATTTTAAACCAGATTCAGCTGGAACTGCCGGGCGTGTCATGTGACACTGGGCAATGAGAGTTACTTTAAATGCTGCTTCCAGAGGGGAAAGCAAGCATCATGCCCAGATAGGTTCCAGCATACTCGGATACAGTTTCAGATGGGAACCTATCAGAGGCTATTTAAACTTCTTTTAGAAACTTGACCCTACTTCATAACAAAACCAGATTTTTGTGTTTAAAACTGCCTGAACTTGGGGCACCTGGGTGGCTCAGTCAGTTAAGCATCTGCCTTCAGCTAGGTCATGATCCGAGGGTCCATGGATTGAGCCCTGCATTTGGCTCCCTGCAGAGCAGGAAGCGTGTTTCCCCCTGTGCTCCCCAGTCATGCTAGCTTTTCTCGCTCATGCTCTCTGTCGCTATCTTTGTCTCTCTCTCTCTCTCTCACTCAAATAAATAAATCTTTTTTTTTTTGTTTTTTTAAACTGCCTGAACTTTTAAATCTGTTTCAGGTAAAGCCTCATTCGGGTCTTTTCTAACTTCAAAAGGTTGGTTCCTTTAGCACTGTTAGTGAGTTGGCACTGACTGGGTGGTTGCAGTCATTTCCTGGAACTAGATTTCCAGAAGTAGCTCCAGGTTTACAGGACAGCTATATTTTAAATTTGGAAGTGTCTCTCTTCATTCAATATTTTTTTAGTATCTACTGTATGCTGAAGTGACCATGGTGAGGATGGGATTTAATTTGGGGCATCAGATTTCCCATCTCCAATAGAGAGGGCAATGAAACATGCTCTTCCTCAGAGAGATGCTATTTGTATAAATCAGATACTCTGTGTAATGTCAACACATACT